ACTTTCAATCTATTTCAAAGGCAAATGTGGTTGCACATTAAAATTACTAGGGCTGGCTGGGCCTGGTGGCACACACCTGTAATCCCAGCACTCTAGAAGCCTGAGACAGAACTGTCATGAGTTTGCAGCCAGCCTAGTCTGCATAGTGAGTTCAAGGTAGGCCTGAACTATATAGTGAGACCTTGTCTCAAAACAGTCAAATAAATAAATATTACCAGGGATCTTTTCAAAATCTGATATCCAGACCGTACACATAACTAATTAAATAAAATAGGGTAGGGGGAGTTGGGGTATGCAATCCAAGTCCCAGAACAGTTCATAGTCTATCTAGGTGTTTCCAATGCAAATCAAAGTTAAGAACCATTGCTCTTGGGACAATATTTGAAAAAACAAACTTTTAAAATAGTGGAGATATTTTTGAATGGAAAATATAACATGATTCTCCACAGAATTTGCTAACTGGTGAAATGATTGAGGTAATACACCATTAGTATTATTAGAGCTATTTCATATTAAAAATATAAAGGTACAAGATCCCAGCAATGAATGTAACTGTATTGTATACCTAAAAACATACCAATAAACTCAATGAGAAAAAAAAAATAAAAATAAGGATTGAATTACTAGGTCTTGATTTCAGCAAATTACTTCACTTGAATTCCACGTATAAAATAAAAATGATAATATTTGAGTGTTGAGAATTATCAAAGGAAAAAGGGCATTAGAAAATGTTTTATAGGGGCTAGGGATTTAGCTTAGTGGTTTTGGTGCCTGCCTCGCAAGCACATGGACCACAGTTTAATGCCTGGTACCAAAAAAAAAAGTTATACAATACAGTTCTTTTAATTTGTTATTATATAGTTGAGCAGTACAATCACCTGTTACTAAAAAGGGTAGTTGTAGTGGTAATGTGGATTCAGTGTAGACTATCACTTAGCTTTAATAAGAATTTACTTGGGGAAATCTAAGTGTCTAGCCTAGAGTTTTTGGAAGCATGGTTCTTGAATAAGTAGCACCATCATTACCTGGAAACTTATTCTGAAAAATAGCCAGGTTTTAATTCACTGGAATTGAGTTTTCTCACTGAGGAAGACACAGTTGTATCTTAAAAATCACATTTCTTTTGAAGACAATACTCTATAGTATCTCTATGTTCCCAATCAGGATAAGGAAGTGTTTCATCACTGACTCAGAGAAAAGACCATTATGTGGGCTGAATCACCATGGATGTTTCCTGTATATTAAATTTATCATTAGGTCTGCTAAGCAACAGAAAAATACTCTGAAAACTTCTTATCTTAAAAGATCTCCTCTGAGAAAGCGCTCCCCCGTCCCCTCACCCCACCCCCCAACCCACTCTGTTCCTTCCTCCTTGATATACAGAATTGAACCCAGGGCCTCTAGACTAGGCAAATACTTTATCACTGAGCTATATCGCCAGCCCTCTGACTTTTTTTTTTACATTGAGATAAGATTTTCTCTCAGTTGTCCATGCTGACCTCAAACTTGTGATATGGGATTACAGGTGTATGGCACTATGCCTGGCTTTTAAAAACAAATTATAATTATTACGCCAGGCTTAGTGGTGCATGCCTGAATCCCAGCACTCTGGGTCTAAGGTGGGGAGGATCACAAGTTGCAGCTCAGCACAGCTGAGTCCCTGTTTCAAAAAAAAGCCAAAAATCTAGAGATGTAGCTCAGTGAGAAGGTCATGGTTTCAAGATGATATGCATTTAATTGTATAAAATAATGGGATTGAAATTCTTGGTTCCTATCCATCCTCCCTGTTATCTTCTCTTCCCCCCCCCTTTTTTTTAAGGTATTGGGGATTGAATCCTGGGACTTTGCACTGAATTATAGCCCTATCTTTTTTTAGTTTTTAGAGACAGCGTTTTCCTAAGTTATCCAGGCAGAACTCAAACTTGCTATCTTCCTGCCTCAGTCTCCCACTGTGCTGCAATCATAGTCATGTGTCACCAAACCAGGTTCTTACCATCCTCTTATTCTTTTTGAAAGGTTTCTTAAGTGTAGATGAAATTTATCTATTATTGCCAAGTAGATGATTCTGGCTATCTTTGATGAAGGTCCCTGATCCCTAAGGGACTTTACTTAACTTCTCTCAAACATCAGCTTCCTGTATTTAAAGAACTTAATATCAAAACTATGGGAATGGACAGAAATAATCACTTCAACAATTGATATTTGTATTTTATATCCTAATGCATTTATATTTATATCCTGTCTTACTCCCAGAGTTTCTACCTCTTCAAAGTATAGAAAACAAAAGGTAGAAGTTGGTTTTACTTACTAATTAAAATTACACTTTTTCTCCTTAGTAATTGCTTTGCCCTATTCCATAAAATATTAGCAATTCTAATTTTGTAAAGAATAGGTACACACATTACTCCCCAAAAGTAATTCCATTCGCTCATTCATTGTCTATATAAACACCTATTGAGCACCTACTATGTTCCAGATATTGTTCTAGGTGCAAAATGAGTCTATAAAGATGCACAGGTTCCAGTAGTCAGGCTACAGACTCTATCTGTCTAGAATGCTAATGTCAGTTTCTCTCAAAGTCCAGACAAGTGGGACACAAACTTAAGAGAGAATACGAAACACCTGTAGAGCTTGTTAAAACATAGTCTGCTTGGATCCGATCTGAGAACATTTCTAACAGTTCCCTAAGTGATGTTGATGCTGCTGGTCCAGTGACCATACTTGGAGAATCACTTACCAAGGCAAATTACAGCTTTTCAAATTATGCCTACCCAACTTTCAAAAAGGTACTTCCTTTTCCCAAAAAGGCAATAGCTTTGTGAACATTCACAATCACTCATAACCAAACAGATATGGGCTCCCAGAATCACTTCAAATATCTAGGATCAATAGCTCCAGAATCAAAGAAAGATGTACAATAAGGAAAAGAAAAACCTCTGGCTTTTCTCCAGTCCTGCTTTCCTTTGTTTTATTTTTAATCACAGAAAATCATTTCTGTTTCTTAACACAAGTATAATGGAAAATAGTAACACTCATTTAAGCTTTTCATACTTTTGTGCTTCAATAAGGTCATAGTTTTTCTTCCAAATTAAGTTCTTACGGCCTAACCCTCTTTCATTTTTGTTGGAATATCTCCTCTCTGAACAAATAGAATCATAGGGTTGAAAGAACATTGAGAATTCATTAAGTCTGTCCTTGGCCTCTGAGAAGACCATGTCTAAACCATCCCCAAATATAGCAACTTCAGCAAAAGAAAAATAGGTGCTAAGAATTCCCCATTCAACATGCTGTCACGTACTTGAAGATACTAATATGCTTCCCCTCAGCCTTCTCTTCTGTAAGCTAATAAACCTTAATTTTAGACTTTCCTTATAAGATTTCCTAAATTTTACATTGCTAGGACTCTAATAAGTTTATCCCACTTTACCTCAAGGCCTGAATTATATATGTATAGTTCTAATTACAACTTTTTGTTGGTATGTGGAAAGGGAAAGGTTAACTTATAGTTTGGCTAAAAGAAATTTAATTACAGTAAAGAAAGATGTATGTATAAATGCCACTAAAATATAATTCAGTGGCACTCATTTGAACAGTGAATTAGTTGAGGATAATTGTGACATTTTTTGCAAATATGTTTTTATGTATTAAAAGAAATGGTAATGTATTGTAGTTTTTTAAAGTTCAGCTTATAAATCATTAGCCACAGGTTTAGAGAATTTATTAAGTATGCCACAAATCATACATAACCATGTTTCATGATATTTCATATGACAGAACAGTAATATGTTAGTATTCATTTCTTTTTTTAATGTACTATTGAAATGGGAGTTATAGTTAATTTATTTAATATTTATCTATCTAAAATACTGAATCTGTTATATAATAATTATTTTGCAAAATGACGTCTCCAATTCAAACCTCAAAAATCAGAGGTGTTTAGAGATTCATCGAATGTATGTCAAGACTGGATACAATCATGTGAAGTCATTATTTCTGCACCATTTAGAAAGAGAATATGACTAATATACTAAATGTATTGATTTCACCCATTTTGGATGTCATTATTCCAAACTTAAATATTTGCTTCTGGAGTGGTGAGATGCTCTAGTTCAGCCTAAGCCTGAGGGATAGCTTTGTTTCCTCACCTATTGGGATCAAGATGGAGGTGATGCATTTAGTCTCCAGAGAGAAGGAAGATGCTGCTTCCACAGCACTTCTACTCACCAGTCCATGCAGCAGCAAGGGTGTTGGCTTTGAAGGAAGCCAACTGTCCTGCTCTCCCAGCCAGAGGTAAAGAATTGCATTGGTGGCCACTAGAGGGAGGAGGATTAGGAATAGAGTAAATTGTGGGGAAAAGGCACCCATGAAAAACGCACATGGGACAACCAACACATCACCAACCACTGCCTAGCAGCTACTTCTACCTCTCTGAGGGACTACAATGGGGTCAGTGCACACCATTAGCCCAGAGACCCAGGCACCAGTAGTTACCGTAGCATCCCAGTATACAGCCCCTTCACTTTGATGGCTGGAGAAGGGAGTTGGAATAGGATGGTGGGAAACACAAACATACAACCACAAGCACACTATTACACAGACATACAGTCTCATCCCCCAATACAAGAAGTTGCATCTGAGATGTCTGATTCTTTCTTGTTTTCTTATTTAAAACTCTTGATTTAGTTTTTATTTATTTATTTTTACCAAGAATATGTTCATGAAAAGCAAACAGCCCACCTTCAAGAAAGTCTTGGGAGAAGCACCAGCAGACACTCATTGTGCCAAGATGTATTTTACCAACAAATCTGTATAAATTACATGAGGTTGAAAACAAATGGAATATAATATAATTAAAGCAAAGTTTCTTTTGCTAAATTACCGCTTGGAGCAAACCTGCAAAAAATGTTTCCAATTAGCTTCTCAGCAACACAAAGCATAGCTCAAGGTATATTTTGCTCTCCATCCTGCCCACTGGGTGGGCTGCCTACTGGGTGTCTTACCTCCAGCACAAGTAGCTGAGCATTCTGACCAAGGCTGATGATTCCATGTAAAGCCTACTTCATTATCTCCACTGCCAGTCCGGGTGATAGGAACATTGAACTTATACCGAATTCCCAAATTTTGTTCCTGGAGGAGAATCTGCCATTGAAAACAAATGGTGAAGGTAATTAAAATACAGTGAGTTTTTTATTACTCCATTTTTTGGGGGGATGATACCAGAGATCAAACTCAGGACCTTGCACTTGTGAGGCAGGCAGTGGAATGTCTGAGCTAAATCCCCAGCCCTTTATTACTTCTTTAGAAGAAGAAAATACCACAAAGCAAATCTCACAGGAAATTTAAGATAACTTTAAACATATATGCATTTACATAAATTTTCTTCTTCCATTTTCATGATAGTTTGAACAAATTCACTCATCTTGGTTGGTTATAAAAATATGATTCAAGGAAGCCCTGAAAAGATAAAGCAGTATATAGAAAGAGTGCTATCACTTTAACTTCAGATTCTTTGACTTTGGGCAAATAATTTTGCTTTTATTTTCCTTCATTTCATCCCCAGTAAAACAGAGAAATTAATTAACCCTTCTTACCTCATAAGGCAGAATTACAAACAGTAGAAATAAAATGACAAAGATAAATTTACCATTACAATGAGATTTTCTGAGGTGGGACCTAGAGCTTCCAAGGATTCTGGTTCATCTGTTGGTCTCTTGTAGTGAAAAGCTGTACCAGCAACATCGAACTTTCTAGGCCAATCAATAGTCCAGGCACCATTAATATAGTAATCATCTGCTTCAGATTTTAAAGCTGGAAAACAATCAGAATCCACCTTAAAATGTGAAGCTTCATTTACTAATTATAACAGATTAATTATTGCCCTGGAACATACAATGAATACCCATTCTCATTAGAGAGATTATGCATGACTATTTTCTTATATACAAAACTAATCTTCATGTGAATGTTAAGAAGATATTACCTAAGTATTTTTGTCACTGATAGAAAAGAATGAAAGGTTTATGAACTAGTAAGAAAAACTAGAACAAACAGAATAACTGGGGCTGGGGCAGAGATGGGGAAGAGACTTTCCTTTCCAAATATTAAACAGAAATTAAATAACTATGAGGTAGGGGACAGTCTATGATACTGGCACAAAGAGTGACAGAACAATGAAACCAAATGTATTTAAAGAATAGTCTCAAGTACATATGAAAATTTAGTATATGGCAAAGGAAGTACCTGAAGTTAGTAAAGGAAATATAACAAGAAATAAGGCTAAGACAAAAAGACTACCCTTTGGTGGAAAATTTATGAATTTATATCTCATTCTTTATGTAAAAATAAATGCCACCATTCCATTCTTAGGTAGATGTCCAAAAGAATAAAAATACAAGTACCCAAATACTTGTATACACATGTTCATAGAAGTACTATTCCCAACAGTAAAAAAAAAAAGAAAAGAAAACAAAAGGAAACAATCCAAATATCCATATCCATCAATAGATGAATACATGAACATATATAAGCAATGGAATATTATTCAGTCTTAAAAGGAATGAAGTACTGAGGCATATGCTATAATGTGATGAGCCTCAAAAATATTATGCTAAGTAGAAGAGGCTATAGAGAAAAGGCCACCTATTGTATGCTTCCATTTATATGAAATAACCAAAATGTGTAAAATTCCAGAAAGAAATCGAGACAGAAAGCAGATTGGTGACTGCCAGGGCAGGAGGGATGGGAAGAACAGGGAACATCTGCACGAAGGATACAGGGTTTCCTGGTGGGCTAATAAAAATGTTTTGGAATGTACTAAAATGTTACTGAATTATTTAGTTTTAATGCTTCACTTTAAATTTTATGTAATGTGAATTTCACATAAAAATACAAAAATTTTAAAAAGAGATAAAGAATAAATGCCAGATGGATAAATATTTAATTATAAAATAGTTAAATTATAAATGCCAGAAGAAAATATAGCAGAATTTTTTTCTTACAACATTAGGATATAAAAAGATTTTCTAATTATGATAAGAAGCTCAGAAACTAAAAAGGAAGGGAATTGGGGACATAGTTCAGTGACAGAGCACTTGGCCAGAATATCCAAAATCCTGGGTTTTATTCCCAACTCCCCCCAAAAATCAATAAAGTAAAAGATATACATATATAATTTTTGAAAACCTGTACAAATATATATATGCATATATATATAATTTAATAAATTTAATAACATGTGGCCAAATAAAGTGTTTGGCACTACTATGCAAAAATTCTTATATATAAGACAGCAACAAACATGTTAATTTAATTTTTTGTTAGTACACTAGCCTACTTTAAAAATTTTAATTTATCAGATCAGATGAACAAGCTGAGAAAGGAAAAGAAAAGACAGCATCATATTACCCAGACTTTTCATATTTTTTACTCTCATCTGCCTGGCAAGTATATTTGCATTTTCTTACTTGCAGATATGCTGTAAGGATACATTTATTTGCAAAATAAAAAAACTGATTAATCTTTTGAGATAGGAACATATTAACCAAACTTAAGGATTATTTGGTGTTGAATTTTTCTTCTAATTTACATTTTTCTTTTTTATCACTCAGTTCCAGTGGCTTCCTGTCTCATTTAAAACATCAAAATTACTTAGGTTTTATAAGAAAAAGTAAAAATAGCCAGGCCTGGTGGCACGCGCCTATAATCCCAACACTTGGGAGGCTGAGGCAGGATGATCACTGTGAGTTCGAGACCACCCTGAGCGGCATAGTGAGTTCCAGGCCAGTCTCAAGTACATAGTGAGACCCTGTCTAAACCACCCCCCAATAAAAAGAAATAGTAAAAATAAAAATAACTGTCAGCTCCTTTGAGATCTTCAATTTGGTCTCTCACTTTTCTTTTCTCAACTACTAAATGAAGAGATCCCAACTTAATTAATGCTATTATACTGTCATTTAAGAAAGAAGCATTTGCAAATCATTCAACTGACCAAAGGAGGAAGTGACATCATGGACCAAAAATTATTAAAGTGAAAAAGCCGATGTTATTTTATTTTGCAGCATTGATGAAGTAGAAAACAACCTAAATTATGGAGTAAAAATAAAGGGGTCATCTTAAATAGCTTCATCATACTGGAATTCTTTCTGAAGGCGCATTATAAATATACTCCTTATATTTTTTATTAATTTTATTGGTACATTTAAGGTATACAATATAATGAAATTCATCATTGGAAATTTGCTTCTTCACATAATTCATCTTGGTTCTTATTTTTATCCCATTCCCCTGTTCTCCCTTCAACCCCTCCACCCCTCCTTATCTACAAATACTTTGTTTCCAAAGTTTGTTTTTTTCTTTTTCTCATATTAATTCCATTCCCTTCTTTCTACCCATCCCACTTCCCCTTCCCTTTGCACTTTTGTTCCCATTTCCTATTTGCTATTTTCTTTCCTATTTCACCTTTAAGTCCTTATTTACACTATCAGTTTCTCACACTAGAGAAACTATTCAGTATTTACACATATGTGCCCTATTTGTTTCACCTAAGTGTGTCACCTCAATGTGCATCAATTTAGCTATAAATGTCTCTAGATTCTCATTCTTTATGGCTGAGAAGAACTTCACTTTAGAAAAAAAAAAATTAAAACAACATTTTCTTTATCCAGTCTCCTATTGATGGCCAATTGGGTTGTTTCCAAATTTTAGCTATTACAAACTGTGCCGTTATAAACATGGGTGTCAATGTGGCTTGGTAGGATTCTTTTTTTTTTTTTTCATTTTTATTGAGTTTATTGGTACAACCTAGGTATACAATACAATTACATTCATTATTGGGATCCTGTACCTTTACATAATAGGTCTTGATTCTCACTATTTCCCCTTGTCCCTGCCCTCCTTTCACCCCCTCCTCCCTTCCCCATTTACAAATATTTTATTTCCATTTTTTCATTTTCTCATATCTTTTTCTTTTCCCTTATTACCTTTCCCCCACCCTTCCCACTTTCCCTACACCTTTAGCCTTTTACTTCCTATTTCACATTAATAATTATCTCATTAGGATCTTGTGTACTATTATAGTTTTTCACACCAGAGAAACTATTCGGTATTTCAGTTAAAGAAATCTCTATATGAACATTATAAATAGGGAATCCTAAAATAAAACTAAAAAGGAAAGTAAAAGAGAAAAGGCAATGATGTAAAATTAAAATAATCCTTAATTCTGAAGATGAAAATGGTCCTTGAACATATTTAAGTTGCTTCTTGCTCTTGTAGTCATATATTATTCTTTTTTTCATTTTTTAGAGAATACTTTATTAATTTCTGTAATCAAATCCATGTAGATATGACCTTATGTATTTAATACAGTGCATTACCCCTATAGAAATGGAAAAAAAATTAACTTTCTAGACCAATATGGCTGTTAATTTCTGTACAATGCCAACTCAACACAGTAAATTGGGATAACTTTTTCCAAAGTCAACAGCACAGTTAAAGTTTCCAAAAATTCAAATTATATATATATGTATGTATATATATAAACCAATAATAGCAATATGTTATGCATCAATAGCAACAACAGCTTTTCCAGGTTCTGCAGTCATCTGAACAAAATTATAGATATTCAACACACTCCATTAAAAAAAAAAACAAAAAAACAAAGAGAAGAATAATACCCAGAAAACAGCAAAGTTCTGTTGCTGTTGTGGTACCTGGCACCATTTTATTTTATTAGTATCTTAATCATCATCTGGAGAGAGAACATTCTAGAGTAACATCATTAAAAATAGCTCTGATAAAGCACTGTCACTATTATGTATCATAAAGCAGGTACAAGAGATTTTACATTCACAGAGGTATGATACAGTACTGTCCTACATCTATATTACTAGGATCAGTTTTGGTTTGAAATTTACTTTGTCTGCAAATAAGATTGCTACCCCTGCCTTTTTTCTGAGCTCCTGTCACATGGAAAATTGTTTTCCATCCATTCACTTTCAGTCTATGGGCTGCTTTTTGCAATAGGTGTGTTTCTTGTATACGACATATTGTTGGATTTTGCTTCTTATTCCATTCTGCCAGTCTATTTCCCTTGATTGGAGAGTTGAGGCCATTGACATTGATGGTTATAACTGATATGTACTGACTTATTATTGTCCTGTTATGGCCTTTTGTTGACGTTTTTTACTTTTTCACCTTCTCCTTTTAGTTTCTTGCCTTGCCTATTTGATTTGGTAGGATTCTTTTAATTCTTTTGGAAAGATATCCAGCAGGGGGATAGCTGGGTCAAATGGGACCACCAATGTTAGTTCTTTGAGGTATCTCCATACTGATATCCACAGTAGGTGCCCCAGTCTACAGTCTCACCAGCAGTGGAGCAGGGTTCCTCTTTTTCCACAGCCCCACCAGCAATTGTTATTGGTTGATTTCATGTTAGCAGCCATTATTTCCTGGGAGAGGTGGAATCTCAGTGTTGTTTTCATTTGCATCTCTCGAATGACCAGTGATGTTAAACACTTTTTATATGTTTATTTGCTATTTCTACTTCTTTGTCTCAGAAATGTCTGTTTATTTCAGATGCCCATTTTTGGATTGGGTTTTTAAATTTGGGAGGTCTGATTTTTTTAAAGTTCTTTATATATTCTAGACAGTAAACCTTTGTCTGAGGAAGAGCTAGTAAAAAGTTTTTCCCACATTATGGGTTGTCTCTTCACACTACTGGTCATTTCTCTTGTGTGTAGAAGCTTTTTAATGAGAAGAGATCCCATTTGTTGATTGTGCTAGTTCATGGGCAACTGAATCTTTTCCTATGC